CCTTAGCATGTATTCCCAGGATTGACCAAATTATCAGGTCAGGATCTCCTCCAATATCAAAGGGTTCCTTTATCTTCTTAGGGGAAAGAAAGAGAGGGAGGACGCTGCACTTTGGAGTATTTTTGCCCCTCGTCCTTTCAATTCTACTGAGGACTGCCCCTCAAAGCAAAGTTTATTCAAACAGCAAAGGCGGCAACATGCTCCTACATCAGGGGCTGCTCAGGCCAGGCCAGCATGCTTTTGGGGAGTAGCCACCTCATAAGATTGCCAGGTGTCCGGTATTGATCTGGACAGTCTGGTATTTTCGCCTCCTGTCCGGTAAAAAAAATTCAGAAAATGACAGACACCTAAAATGTCTGATGTTTTTTCATTTTTCTTTCTGGACAGGAGGTGAAAATCCCAGGTGCTTACCTAGTTCCGCAGGGGAGCTCTCTGCTTAACTCTCCGGGTCCTTTTTTTTTTTTTTTTCTCAACAATGTCATTTGAGCTCCCCACCTCAGGTGCCAAAATGGTGTGGGCCAGCCCTGACCCCCTGGGAGAGAGAAGAGAGGACCACCCCACGACAAGGACACACACTAATTTCTAGTGATTAAGAAGAAACTTCCACCATTGGTGAAGTAACAGCATCTCTCCAAATTAGTCATCTTTCAGTTTTATGTTAGAAATGAGACATTTCTTCATTGTAAAGAAATGCTCTCCTTTGATACTTAAAAAAAAAGAAAAAAGAAAGAAACAGCTCTGCATTACAAATCTTACACTCTGCCTTGCTCTCAAGTAGCAGTATTCTTAGAAATTTCATCCCACGGGAACTCACTTATCAATCTGTTTAAAATATAAATTATTCAACCTCCACTGCTTTCCATGAAAATCCTAATCAATGAGTTTTTCTAAAATGTAAAGAAATAGAATTAAATGCAAGTGTAGAGACATTAGGGCTTGGTGCAGTTCCTTCTGAAATTATTGGGGTTATGTCTAGACAAAAGGGCTATTTCGGGATAACGGAAGTATCCCAAATAAAAATTCCATGTCTTTAAATGTGCTCATTTTTTCAAAATAATGGGCGCACTATTCTGGCATCCCTGTAACCCTCAGTTCATGAGGGGTAAGAGATTTGTCGAAATAGCACTTTTTCAAAATAACCTTGAAATAAACTACACAATATGCATAGTGCAAATTGCATAGCTTATTTTGAGGTAAGGGTGCTCTGTAGATGCATCCTGAGAGTTCTTTCATCAACTTTGATATGTTTTACATAAGATCTTAGTTTTAAAATTGACCATAAAGTACCTTCTTCCTTTGATAGCTTGCAATACATTGAGGCATCATAAAAGCTTAATAATGTACTTTGTAGTCCATTAAAACTTCTTTCTTCATTACATGAAATTTGGTCAGAACACACACAATTCTTGGTTCAAGAAAAGGGTTTGTGGAGAAAGACCTCAGTGTTACTGTCGTTAACTGGCTCAGAATTTTAAAAATGTAACCAACATAATTTTGCACCATCAGATTTTTCAAATTTGCCTTTCTTTCCTCTAGTGCAGGGTGGCCAACCCGTTAGAGACAAGGAGCCAAAATAGTGGTGGATAGAATGTGAAGAGCCACGTCCTGTGGAGAGGGAGGTTGTTGAGCAAAAAAAAAAAAAACACACACCGGGGAAAATAGGTGCCAGTACTCTGTCCCAGGGCATACCATCATGAAAAAAGCACTGGGAAGGGGTGAGAGGTGCAAGCTCTGGGAGGGAATTTAGGTGCAGGAGGAAGTAGAGAAGAGGATGCTGGCTCAGGGAGGGGGCTCCAGGCTGGAGAGGGTTGGGGTCAGGTGGAGGGTTGGGGTGCTGAGCAAGCTGCAGGCTTGTGGCTGTGAGGGTGCAGGAATTTGGGCTGGGGTGCATGAGGGGCTCAGGGCAGGGAGACTGGGAGTATGATGGGCTCAGGACACAGATTTGCAGTGTGTGGATGGTGCAGGAATGTTGTGGCAGAAGACTGGGGCTGTGGGGGTGCAGGAGTTTGGGGATGTGAGAGGCTCAGGACAGGGAGTTCCAGTGTATGATAGGCTTAGGTTTGGGGTCTGCGTGTGTGTGTGTGAGAGAGTGCAGGAGTGTAACAATGCTGCGGCCAGATGGGGCTTAGCCCCAATTGGGGGCTTGCTGGCCAGGCTTCATTTTTAAATAAAATATTATGTCAAACACAAAATGTTTCAGTGTTATCTTTATTTATGAGAGGGGCAGGGAACCTGTTTTGAGTCAAGGATCACTGACACACAGAAAAGTCAGTCGGGGCCACACAGATGAGATGCAAAAAGACCCTCCCCTCAACCTCCCCCCAAGCCTCACTAATGTGGCCCCAACTGTGCTGGTGGGGGCAGGGGACAGGGTGCGGGGCAAGGCGCCTGGTGAGTGCTAGGGCAGGGCACTCGTGGGGGATGGGGGTCTGGCCAGGAGGATGGGACAGAGACAGCTGGGGCCAGTACGTGGGGATCCTGTGTCTCAGGAAGCGCGCTGGCTGCTCTTCCCCTCCCTCAGGCACCCCCCCTGCTCTAACCCAATCCTCCTCCTCTTCCCCAGAGCCAGGCACACACACCCCTAACCCAGAGGCAGAGCTGTCACTGCTGCCACACACGTCTCCCTCCAGCCCCTGGGGCGCATGTGCTGAGCGGCCAGCCTTGAGACATGCTGGCTGGGACATTGCGTGCACCGGAATCCAATCCCCCTGCCTCCACCCCCGCCAAACTAAGTCTCGGATCTCGGAGCTGCTGCCACTGCTATAGCCACGCGTCT